ACTGCTAGTTGCTGTTCATGGATGCACTCTGCTAGCCTTCTGCCTGTCTGTCCTACATAGTGTTTGTTGCAATTCTTACACTGTATGTTGTAGATGACTCCTGTTTTTTCTTCTTCTGCTACTGGGTCTTTAAAGCATAGCTTAATGTAATTGAAACTACTAGATATGCAAGACTGCACTAAACAGATTCTTCCTTTCCATACTTAGTTACACTTTTTTAGTATCTCCATCCAAGGAAAAATACCCATGAAAAACATTTCCTCACTTCCTAAATGCAGTAGTCTGTCTTTAGTATGTTGGCACTATTGGAAGAGTTAGAATGGATTTTTACCAATCCAATTTTTACCCCCCCCCCCAAAAAGTATATGTTTGGCATCTTCTTTGTATTAAAATCTGATACCAAGAAAAAATGGCTAGGAAAAATGGCTAGATATTAGAAGATCATTTTTATCTTTTGTGGATTCCATCTGAGGTGATGAGTCCTGTATTTCAAATACTAACAGTATTTTACACCTCTGCTAAGAGTGAAAGATATTCAAAAGTTCCCCAGAATAAACTTTTATATATAGTCTTTGGAGAGTAAAGGGTGGAACCATTTCTTAATCATGTTTAGTTAATCCTAATCCTGAAGATCTTTAAAGTTCATTGTCAAGGTGAGTCAATCATGTAATTAGAGTTAGCTGTCAGTGGCTACCTTTGTACTGCTAGACTCAGTTATATTTATTCATACAATGGCCCCAAAGAACTATCGGAATTAATAACTGGACCTATCCATATAGCAAGGTATATATTTGATCTGGCATTTATTGCTGATCTGTCAGATGGTCTGAATGTGGATTTACTATCATTTCTTTGTAATGGATCATTGTTTGATACACTTCAGAGTCATTTAGGCTCCTAAATTCTGCAGAGGTTTGAGACCGATTAAAACAATCCGTCCTTGGAGTGTAACTTTGGAAACTGATGGATCCAGGAGTATTAATGACTGTTTTGAAGACTTTTACTGGCAATATAATAGGTGATTCAGTCAAGGTTCTTGCAGATCACTAAAATTTAGGGATTAGCCAAGCCATGGATGTTGTGACTCTTGAGCCTCAGCTGCCAAACTGTGGATCCAAGATGTGTTTTCCATTTATTGAGGAAGTTTTGGCTATGAAATTGGCGATTCAGAAGAGGGGTCCTTGGTGCTGTCTAAGCTTGGTTGTTTGCCTGCAGACATTTCATTACCCAATGCAGGCACTGAT